TGCCAGTTCTGTTAGCTCTACGCCTGCCGAAGACACAGACGTCCATCCCCGTGAACACTGGGACGCAACTCAATGGGAAAGGAAAGGATTCTGATTTCAACCGTTGCGTTTTTTAGCTGCGACACATGAATCAAGATGCTATGGCTGAAAAAAATGTGATTGACAGATGACCGTTGATTTATGATTGGCCGAATTTAGGTGTTCAGGCTGATGTAGAACTAACTGGCCTGCAGAAGATAATGAAAAAATTATTTGATGACTTTATAGAGGCAGAAGCAAAAATAAAGCAACATTTTTATAATTGCAATCATGAAAGACTGTAGAGAAAACGCTGTGTTCCAAGTGCAGCACAGCAGTAGAGGGGTTATGGTTTGGGCTGGCAGAAAAATGAGCTTGTTTTCTAATCCAAAACAAGACTTTGTTTATGGTTCACTCTATAAATCCTCAATTTCAACGCTATTTCTGACATTTTGATTTGAAAAAACTTCCTGGATTGGAAGCGAAACGTCTTCAAACTTGGAAACAAAGTCCTGTGGATTGTTTCTTTAACTCTTTTGGAATTAAGAGTTAATGTTTGGTCCAAACTGGGTCATCAAAAGAACAATCCTAAAAAAAAAAAAAGGCTGAAGGAGAAAAGAACCTTCGTACCACAATGGTCTAGTCCAGGCATTCTCAAAGTCGGCCCTCTAGGGCCGCTGTCCTGCTGGTTTTCCACAGCTGATTTTAATTGAAAGCTCATTAACATCCTTTTGCTGAACTGCAATCATCATAATCAGCTGTGCTAAAACAGGGAAACCTCTAAAACCTGCAGAACAGCGGCCCTCAAGGGCCGACATGGGGGGGATGCCTGGTCTAGTCAAAGTCCCAGACCTCAACTTGAAAGACTTTCTGTGGTTGGATCCTCAAAGAGCAGAAATGGAAAGCTTAAAGGAGAAATAAGCAACAGTGACACCTAGTGTTTTAACTTGGAACAACACTCTGAGCCTACATTAGCCTTTCAAGCAGTCCTTTTTAGAATATAGAATTAATTCAGCAGTAAATTATATACCTTAATGCAGGGGGACGCCGTTCTGATGAGGTTTTTAAGGCAAGGAACTCTTATATGATTGGCTCAAAAACCAGGAAATAAAGATGGGCTTTGCACAGCTAAGCAGTTCCAGACCATCCCTCTGGTTGTTGATAGAGAGGACTGATTGTTTACATGGAATATTGCTTCCATCATGGATGAAAAATAAGGAAGATTTTTTTTAATTTCTTATTTCTCCTTATTTTTTTTATGTTTGGGGAAATTTAGTATTCACTTTGCATTTCTTCTTTAATATTTTAGTGTTTGGGACAAAAACTGGACTAAAATGACTCCCCCACAATGATGATGTGGAGACTGATGGAGATGGAGCCGCTGATGGAGCTGCTGGACCAGGGGTGTAACAAGTTTATGGTAGAGCTAACTTTGGGTGTTGACCCACTGATATATAAAGCTCTAACAGCTGCAGAAATGCTGGTGGCAGAGCCTAGATGGTGTGAGACTGGTGCCCCCTACTGTACAGACACGGTTACTACATCAGGTTTCCTCTTGCTAGTCCAACAAAAGAGCTGCTCGTCACTGTTTATTTCAGTCTGATTGAACCTCACCTTTAAGGGACGTATTCTTTTTAAACTGTCCAATCAGGAGCCAGATGAAGGGAAATATGGGGTCATTTTTCATAAAGCTGGTTACTGGTTTCTTTGCTCCTCAATCAGGCTCGGTTTGACTCTGATGTCCTTAAATAAAACCTGTTCTGATGTCATTTCCTCCTCTCATGCAGAGACCCCCCCCCCTGCAGCATCCTATGCCTGATGATGATGATGATGCTCTCACCTAGGAGCTGGGAGCTGCCCCAGATGAAGGGCAGGAACTGGAAGTCATCCAGCCCCCACACCCCTTGGCTCCCAGCAGGCTCCATTCTGTAGGTCCTCTGCAGCTTCCGCATCACCTGGAGATACCTGCAAAAAAACAATTCAGGCTTTTAAGGCAGTTCAATCTGCAGAGAGAAAAATAAACATAGTCAAGCTAACCTGAACCTGTTTAGAAAGTAATCACACCCCCTTCATCCATCGTTCTGAAATCAGCAGGTGAGTTTCTAACATGAGTGTGGAGGAATGTGGACCAGCTCCGCTCTACATAANCTGGTCTAGTCAAAGTCCCAGACCTCAACTTGAAAGACTTTCTGTGGTTGGATCCTCAAAGAGCAGAAATGGAAAGCTTAAAGGAGAAATAAGCAACAGTGACACCTAGTGTTTTAACTTGGAACAACACTCTGAGCCTACATTAGCCTTTCAAGCAGTCCTTTTTAGAATATAGAATTAATTCAGCAGTAAATTATATACCTTAATGCAGGGGGACGCCGTTCTGATGAGGTTTTTAAGGCAAGGAACTCTTATATGATTGGCTCAAAAACCAGGAAATAAAGATGGGCTTTGCACAGCTAAGCAGTTCCAGACCATCCCTCTGGTTGTTGATAGAGAGGACTGATTGTTTACATGGAATATTGCTTCCATCATGGATGAAAAATAAGGAAGATTTTTTTTAATTTCTTATTTCTCCTTATTTTTTTTATGTTTGGGGAAATTTAGTATTCACTTTGCATTTCTTCTTTAATATTTTAGTGTTTGGGACAAAAACTGGACTAAAATGACTCCCCCACAATGATGATGTGGAGACTGATGGAGATGGAGCCGCTGATGGAGCTGCTGGACCAGGGGTGTAACAAGTTTATGGTAGAGCTAACTTTGGGTGTTGACCCACTGATATATAAAGCTCTAACAGCTGCAGAAATGCTGGTGGCAGAGCCTAGATGGTGTGAGACTGGTGCCCCCTACTGTACAGACACGGTTACTACATCAGGTTTCCTCTTGCTAGTCCAACAAAAGAGCTGCTCGTCACTGTTTATTTCAGTCTGATTGAACCTCACCTTTAAGGGACGTATTCTTTTTAAACTGTCCAATCAGGAGCCAGATGAAGGGAAATATGGGGTCATTTTTCATAAAGCTGGTTACTGGTTTCTTTGCTCCTCAATCAGGCTCGGTTTGACTCTGATGTCCTTAAATAAAACCTGTTCTGATGTCATTTCCTCCTCTCATGCAGAGACCCCCCCCCCTGCAGCATCCTATGCCTGATGATGATGATGATGCTCTCACCTAGGAGCTGGGAGCTGCCCCAGATGAAGGGCAGGAACTGGAAGTCATCCAGCCCCCACACCCCTTGGCTCCCAGCAGGCTCCATTCTGTAGGTCCTCTGCAGCTTCCGCATCACCTGGAGATACCTGCAAAAAAACAATTCAGGCTTTTAAGGCAGTTCAATCTGCAGAGAGAAAAATAAACATAGTCAAGCTAACCTGAACCTGTTTAGAAAGTAATCACACCCCCTTCATCCATCGTTCTGAAATCAGCAGGTGAGTTTCTAACATGAGTGTGGAGGAATGTGGACCAGCTCCGCTCTACATAATAAGTGTTGGGGGATTCTGGCATGAACGCCCTGTGTAACTTATTGAAACATCTTCTTGAACAGGTTAAGGTCCAGACTTTGACTAGGCCACTCTAGAACTTTGGTTTGAAGTTGTTAACCCCATTTGGGTGACCAAAGCCCTGGAGCATGAAGCCAGGACCACTGGGTTGGAGAGACAACTTCAGGTTTAACTCTGGTACCACAGAGCTGGGTTAATTGTTAGCGAGGCTGGTTACCATGGTAACGTACTCTGAACTGGGTAGGCTAGCTTTCAGAGTTGAAAACACCCTAGAAAACGCTCCACCGAGCAGTTCGGAAAACAATGACGTGACCCGGTTTAATTTAGAGGGGAAAAGAGATTAAACAAAACATGACAATAAAACAATTTGAAAACCAAATAGCATTTAAAACAAAAAAAGTTCTTTAAAAATGAATTAGTTTGCAGTGTAATTTATTTCTTTTTATTTTTCCTCCTTTTAGACATACTGATATTTCATTATTATGTATCAGTGTTCTCCTGAATAACAGGGTTTATACAGGAATGAGTCATTCTTATTTAATGCTTTTTAATGTTCTTTTAATGCTCTTAGAAATAATTTTAATGTCATCAACAAGTACCCATGACTCTCTCATATATGTATGTATGTATGTATGTATAAACATATATATATATAATATATATATATATATATATATATATATATATATAATGAGACATGGCAAAATCCTGCATAATCTTTATGTTCGACCGGCTGCAGCCATGTGCCGAATTCCTCGTTTCCCAGCCACTTTTAGTTGAATTTGCATTTTTCTCCATTCTCTAGCTTTTTCTCCACCTCAACCTTCTTTTCCGAACATATGGCTTTACGATCGCGATATAATATATCACACAAAATTGTTTTTATAAACTTTTATTTATATATATATAAAGCATTTTAAATGCCACAATAATCACATTTAATAACTTTTAATGCCAATTAAGGCTTTAATTTGAAAAATAATAATTTAATGACTTTTAATGATTTATAATGACCCGCGGAAACCCTGTAGGATGTCACTATAGATCGCTGGCATTCTTCTTTCTTGTATAACAGATAAATGAAGCTAAATAAAAAAAAATGTATTTGAAAAAATCAGAGCACAAATTGCGAGAAGATCCCTTGGAAAATCTGTTTAGAGCAAAACAGATTTTCACTGGCCGGACGGGTAGATTTATACCGGATCCTGGAACGGTGCATTGTCCATGCGACCTGTAGGACGGCGGATCTAACAGCCACAGACTGCATATATGGCCACCAGATATTACGCAACCAGCAGCTTCATGTCCACCATGGGGGGTATGTCCAGTGCCCTGATGTATGCATATCTATTCTATTAAAATTTCTGTATCTGTAGAATAGGTCTGTTTTATGTGTAGTCTTCTCAATTCAGAGGGCTTCATGCCCGTCTTTGCCTAGGGCCCCAAATTTCATAAATCCGCCCCCTGAGGCTGGGAGTAATCCCGCTGTATTGAGTTTGCTTGGTGGTGCAGAACTCAGGGAGTTAAAGGGTTATCTTCTCTGAGCTGGACTGGTTGGGTTTATTTAGATCATTTTTCTGATACAGAACCAGCATGAGGTCATGATCTAATGGTTGGATCTTCTCTTTTAGTGAATTTCAATGGTGAAGTCCTCTGGAAATCTTCAATAATTGTTGTTGATTGCAGATGTGTCTAGTAGTTCCCATTGATTTAGCTTGTAAAGCGG